GACCTTCCAAAGTTAAAGGAGAAGCTGAAATACTCAATAATTGAAATGTCATAGGATGAACCAGCTGCTAAGAAAAAGCAAATATTTAAAGATGAGAAATATTTAACAAGTCACTGGATTAATTTCTCTGCCAAGTTCATCAGAAGCAAATATATTTCTATTTGATGTCAGGGATGTCAGGTAGACTTGGAGTAACCTTATGGGCATAAAACAACCTTGGAGGCCTCTTTAGCCCAGAACATGCAGAATGCAGAACAGTTTAGCACAGCAAGAGAGAATGTCAGTGAACATATATTTTTCAGTGAGGTAGATCCACCTTGGTGTTGACGACAAAGAACTGCGTTTTATGAAAGTTATAACTGTTTATGAATAACTGCTCGTGCTTCCATCTTTTACTGCTTGCTCTGAAGGAGCTGCTGTTCTAGCAGAATCCAGCTCTTTTATTACAAGCTAAGTATGGGATACTCCTGTCACTTGGCATACACAAGATTTACCTCCCTTCAGGGAGCTGTTCTGAGTTTTGCTCTTCTCCTTCACTGGTTTCTCACCATCTTTACTCCATGGAAATATCGTAGTGATTAAGCAACAATTACAAATTTTAACGAGATTGAGATTTCAAGGTGATTCCTGATCTGTTGTCTTCATCTCCAGCCTAACTGCTCAGGCTTAGTAAAGGTGTATACTTTTGTATTTTCAGTCTACTAATTAAAACAGAAAAAAAATTGTGAACAGCCTCATATTCAAAAGGCTGGGTCTTAGAGGGACACAATTTTATTAAAAAAAAAAAAAAAAAAGAGTCTGTCTATGCAATGCTTTGAAATTATTAACAATTCCAGTTCCACCTAATTCCTCCTAATGACACAGTGGGAAAGAAGCTGCTCAATGGAAAGTTGCCAGTGCCCTGGAGAAGACAGGTGGATGGCTCCTGCTCAGTCCTCAGCACCTCATCTCCATTCTCTTGAAGGAGCTGGGATCTCAGGGAGCCAAGACAGTGAAACAAGGGCTGCACCCCTCCTTACTGACCCAACCACTGCAGGGACTATCCTCAGGACTGCTGCCTGCTGGTGGCTGTCACCACATACACTGGGAAAAGGGAAACCCTCAACTGCTGTTATTCTTGCTCATATCTGAAAGATTCACCTTCAGTGCCTCTCTCACTGGACTAGCTTGTGGAATTAATAATTATGTTGAATACTGCAAAACCTTAGCCATGTATTTCAGTTCTGTTTGAATTTTACCCTTGTAAAGTTTTCCTTGTGGGCTACTTCCAAAAGAAACATAAACATGCTTTTAATAATACTAATGACAATGTCTGTGCCTTTCCATTAAATGAAAAAGATGATTTTGATATGTTCACAGCAGCCTGTGATTTACACACAAGTGAAACTGGTCAGATTTACAACTGAAACAGTAGGTCACCTCTATGTACATCCTGTATTTGGACAGTTCCTATATTATTGTTACATGGATGAAATTAATCTTTTAAAGGAATATATAAAGCCCAGACTAAGCTTGTTCATTTGAGAACTTAACACAAGGGGAAAAAAAATGAAGAAGTATTTGCATACTTTAGTACAGTAGTAAATGACTGCACTGATGAGGTCACCATGATAAACTGATATCATCCACACCACATCCTCCAATATTTGCATGATGATGCCTGTAAAAACTTTGGTATGAATGTCAGACTGCTAAGGGTTTTTTTCTCTTTTGCTGTTTAATAAGACCTTTTTTTTTTTTTTAAAGAATTCAGTATGCTTTTAATTTGCAGAAGGAAAAGCTTCAGTTTTCTGTTAGGCTTTTTTTGTGGTAACCAACTACCTATATAAAACATAAAACACCATTTTTTTCCCTACTCTATATGAATGGTATTTCCAAAGATAACTCTCATTGACTCAACTAGTTTGCAGTTTCTTTTGTAATAAGAACCTAATAAGTTGTTATTTACAGTATAAGTGATCAACAGCTTTTATTCTGGATCACACAGTGCCAGAGCTCTAATAATTGGTATTAAATATAATAGATATATTGCAATCAAACCAAACATAAAAAAATCTTCAAAAAATATGTACTATACTGGGAGATTATTAAAATTCCCGATACTGCCTAAAATGTTTAATGTGCTGAATACAAACCGTATTTTAAAGAAAGCTGTGGGGATCAAAGATGGATTTAATAATTGTAATGTTTATGAATTTGTTTTGAAAATATTTTTAATTGGATAATGTCAGACTTCTGAATTCTAATGCGATGTTCATTAGCATTTCAATAGATTATACTACCAACTCCTTTTGACATAAACGAATTTGATTCATTTTTTAAATCATGAATCTCGTAATCTTTTTTTCTGCTACCACTAGTTTTCAATAATTTTATTCTCTTCTACGAGAAGAGCAACAGGAACCACATGGGCTTTGCTGGTAATGATGGGCTATATATCTCTTCTCTGAAAGCAGCTCTGTTGCCTTTGAAAGTAATTTGCAGTTTCTTATCAACACAGAATTAAAGAGTAATATTATCTAATTTTTTATGTTCACTGACACAGAGTATTGTAGAATTCTATCCCATACACATCCCTTTGAAATGTATATTACGTGACCATAATCAAAAGTACATAAATGAAATTCAAAATTTATGAAAGTGTTTATTATAAGCTAAGGAAAAAAAAATTTCAAAAAAAAAGAACTTGTCAATAAGTTTAATAATCTCTTAGTAAGATGTGTATTTTGCACACTCCAAAACTTCAGTGCAGTTTATAAAACAGTAATTTGTACTTTATAGTTGTATTGCAAATAAGTGATCTGGACATTTCAGAGCAGGACAGGCCACAACTGCGTAAGTCTCAACGTAAATCGGCACATTCAGCATGATGAACTCCTTGCTTGAGAAGTTATCTTCTGCTTCCAATAGAAACAAAAACTGATTACTGCTGATCACTTAGACATAACTGCTTGTAACAGTCAACAAGCCATCACAGTAAGGTATAACGACAGCCCTTAGGAGAAATGCTGCCTATTTCCTGACATTTAAAGCTTTAAAGAATTCCTTCTAGATACTGCAGGAAATCATCACGAGCCAGCGCAGGCTGCCAGTGTCACTGAGTTAGAACCAAGAGATTAAACCATGTATATTGGCAGGATTGCCATCCAAACCGCTGAGTTAATTTATGGGACTGGTCTTGCAAACAGTTCATCATGTCAGCAATGCCAAGGTCTGTGGTAGGAACTACCAGAGTGAGAAAATCGTGTCACATTTTCTCCGTGTGTGTGCATGGCGCTGCCTTGTAATTGGATCAACCACTTTTCGTGTTGGTTTTAGCAGTGTAAGAAATAAACCACAATTTAAATAATATCCTACTACCTCTTGTCCCTCTGCAATGTTCTGATAAGAGAAGTAAGGCATGAAATTCCTGTAACTTTTTGATCTGACATTATCAGGTACGTATAAACAGATAATGATGTTTTAGTAGAGCAAATAAATTGTATGTAATTTTTTTATTAAACAAACAGTATAATAACTGGACTATATTATCACAATGGAAGCATAGAAGACCATAGACTGTACAGCTGAAACCCTGTAGGAAAAATTGTTCCTCATATTTAAAGAAATGTATCTTAATCAAGCTTTCACAATGGCTGCTTCTTGCTAATTTAAAGAATCTTCACTCTTGTTAAGGCTAGATGATTATAATTAAAAGATAAATGTACTGTTAGAAGGTTCTACGCCACACTCTATTTTTATGAGAATTTAACTGAAAGACATACATTATACCTGTATGTGAATTATAATGGCTTCTCAGCAGGGAACGCAGAATCACTTACAGTACGTAAACATTTAAAGAGGAAAATGCTAACACACTGAAAGAGTTTAACATCAGTAACGATTTATCAAATGAAGAAGTTTCATAAAGTCCACTCTCTGGGAGAACATTCACCATTAGACAAAAGCCTGGCATCCATGATAGTCTGAAGTTCAACCACTCTGAAAACCAAAACCGTTCAATGAAATAAACAAGATCTCAGGAAAACTGCCATCTTCCTTCTCAGATAAAAGCCAGAATTAAAATAATAATTATTAAAATAATCCAACCAGGTCGCTTTACAGGCAAATTTACACATTGTCTCTTTAAAACACTGCATGCCCAAAAGCCTTTTGGGTTTGGAATGTAGCACTGCACCAAGTATTTCACAAAGCCTCTAAATATCACAAGAAGCTTTTTTTAGAGAGAAAAAAAAAAAAAAAAAAAAAAAAAAAAAAAAAAGTAAAATTCCAGCTGACTGAGACTGTTCTAACAGGAGTGCCTCAGCTTAGCTCCCAGACCTGGAATTCCAGAGAAACAACAGAGGACAGCAAACAGATTTTTTTTTTCCTTTTTTTTTTTTTCTTTTTTTTTTTTATACGTCCTTTTGTAATGCAGCTACAAGGCGACTGATGAGCTTAGGGACAAACAGAGTGAGAGTGCAAGTGTCATCAGGGTGAGCTGTGTGCTTAGATAGAAGCTTGTGGGAAGAGCGAGTGAATTCTCCGCAGATATGTGACTGGTGGAGACTCCTGCTGTGTTGTCCTTCCCAATAGCGTTCTGTAAGACACAACACTTTCCTTGGTCACCATCACACATTTCCACTGCAAAAACATTTAAATCTACAGCATGAAATTCACCTTTGGCTTGTTCATGTCCCACCCTCCACTGATACCTGTATATATCAATGTCACAAATTGAAAGATGAAAAGAGGCATTAAAACAGATGTCAAAATGACAATTTGTTTAAATTTTAAAAATTTACTACTTTACCAATGTTTCAATGCATAAAACGTATGGTAATTTTTTGTGAATCTATGTTTATCATGCAAATTTATTTTGAAATAACAGAAGCAGGACCCGCAGAGAAACTTCAACTTCTGCACAGTCAACAGAACAACTTTGTTTGACAACAAGTTACTTGTGGATAACAACAAATAAAATTTAATTCACGGGCTCAGAAAAGACCATTTTCTAGCTCACAAAAATTTTCTCTTTCCCCTTAATTGCTGTGTTATTTGCATTCCTTGGCATCTTTGCTACCAATAATTAAACAGTATGCACATGCCAGTACAGATTGGCAGATTATAGTGAACTACTTAAGGAGCAGATGCAGCAGAAATATTTCTCATTGCTAGCATCCTCAGTAAAAAAGAAAACCTAACAGGTATAATCAGAGAAGTGGAACAATTTACACTAAAGGGACCTCTGAAATCATGAAGTCCAACCTATTCCATATGAAGTAGCTCAGATCCTGCCCAGTCAGGATGTGAAAATCCCCAGTGATGCAGCCTCTAAAGAGGGGATGAGCCTTTCCAACCCTAGAGAGGCAATGGGCCATGGTACAAGGTACAAGTACCCACAAGACCAGATACAAAGAAGGAGTTCAAGGCATCAGTTTCCACAGGAATGACTGTCTACAGAGCCAGGGAGGTATTCATGGGTAAATCTCTTCCAGATATTAAGAACAGAATCTAAAGAATTAGCAATGGGCTACAGGATTTCCACTGTGTAGAAGAACTGGGCAAATTTGGACTGGTGAAGGGGAACCTGAAAGTTATGGTCACACCCTTCTGGTGGCTTCTGGCTGTACAGCTGGTCTTGCTCCAAAGGTTACCTGTTTCCACATTGCAAAAATTTAGTTTATGTACATCACTAATTATTAAGCTTCCTGAGAGACTAGGTACAAAGGATATGGACTGACAGACATGGAATCTGATGTAATGCTTATGTCTGAGAGGGGTCTTTGGGGTCAGGCTGAGCAGACCACTCCAACAGCACTGGGAGTTTCATGTCTTGAGTCTGTCAATCTGTTCTCTGCTGTATAAGCATCACATCTCCTGATATGAGCATCATTTCGTGCCCTAAATTGGTCATTTTTTTAAACCACAGAATGATGATAAATTTGTTTCTGATTTTTCTCTAAAACCCATCTGATCCTGTGCTCCTGCAGATGATTAAACAAGTATACTTGCTATTATTATGGGATCTAACTACACAGGCTATTAAAATATAAAAGTCAGCAGAGGACACTTTGAGCCCAGCTCTGAACTTCTGAGTAAAGTTGTTCTTTAATACATTATGGTATCCAAACATAACAAAACTGACAAGACAAATATGAGGTAACCCATGATAATCTTGACAGACTTGGAAATCTTATATTATGGAGAGACACCTGTGCTGTGAAATATATAGGATCCACACTCTTACCTCATTAAGACAGAGCTCTGTATCTACAGATTCATTGGATTTTCGCTTCTTCTGTGCCTATGAACAAATGCAGAATTTATTCCCTGTACAATTTATGCACACAGCAGCACAAAACACTTAGATAAATTTACATGGGTTGTCATACTCCTATAATTTCGACAGTGATTTGCACATGATTAACAAATGAACTCTCCAAATGTAACTGCATGTTTTCCAATAACATTCAGATTCTCATTTGAATTTACAGCAAAATTTCAAACATTCAACTAAGAGTACTTAGTAATGACAATGATGAGTGCCATCAGCTGCAGAGAACATGTTATCCTGTGGCCCCTTAAAAATGGTGTTGGATGCTCATGAGAAGAAATGAAATATGACAGTTAATAATTACCATAATACCACTGCATATTAAAAAATAATCTATCATATGCCTCAGTTTTAGGAAAATATACAACACAGGAGTATTTTATCCTTAATGATTCTTGCAATTTTTCCAAGCGTTACTATAAAAATAGAAATATGATTTTAATATATTTCATGGCTGCCAGAGAGCCTCTTCTATGACATTACAAAAAGGACATTTAGTGTCTTTTAACATATATACCTCTAAGTCAAACTGAACTGTTTGCTTACTTTGTGTTCGCTGATTATCATACATAGAATATTAAACTAAGTGCAGGAATATTTTAGATGATCAAGAATTACAAAATTAATCTGCTCTACAGCCATATCTTATGATGAACAACCATCTTTTGCTATTACTGTGTGCTCTCCACACTGACTCAAGTGCGAACCATTTCAGGTGGCATCACACAAAATGAAAGCAATAATGTGCACTCTGTCTGGTGTCAGAAGGTGTTTAATATTTCCAATATTTCAAGCGAGCAGGACTGGGCTGGGCACTTTCTGCTTTTCTACAGGAGCAAGACTAATCCCTGTGCTGGGGAAGATATTTTCAAGAAAAGGTGCTGTGGCTGACTTAAGCACTTCAGTGATTCTCAGCATCAGTTCTTTCTTTGTGTACTCCAGAACCATGAACAGTCCTCTTTTATAGAAACCAACGGTGTTCAGTGTAAATCAACTCTTGCAACAGGAGACCTTGGTTTACACACCAAAACTACTGACTGCACTGGGCACGTCTGATATTTCCACCTGAAAGTTCTGCTGGACTTGCAACTTATTTTCTGCAAGAAATGAAGATCTGAATCTCACTGTGTTGCATTAATTTTACACTGCAGAATCTCCCTGGTTTTGGCACTGATGGACTGGACTAAAGCTGATGTGAGAAAGTGCTGAGCATTCTGATTTTATGCCCTCAAAAAATTACAG